TCTTTTCCTCTCTTTCCGGTGAGAAGAGCATCGCGCTTCCAATTTGCCCGGAGAAAACCGCCGTTTCCGTTTCACCGTTATCGCAATCGCGATTGACGGCGCATGCAGCTGTGCGTCCGGATATTTTTTTCCTTTCCCCGGTGCCGCTCTTTTCGATCGGTATGCGAGACTAATCGACGTGGCGAGGCTACCTAACGATCCGTTGCGATCCGATACCGTAACGTTGCCGTTGTCGTTGTGTCGCCGCGTGGTTACGCTCGCACTCATTTATCGGACGTATTTATCTGCTCGCACGTATCGATACCTCATCTGGAGCATTCTCAATCGATCGCCGTCCCCGATCGACGTTGTCCACGACGAAGAGAGGATAGAGGCTACGCGATCTGATTTCAACGAGTCTCACTTTTTACACAGAGAAAAATTACCCTTCAAGAGATTATATATTCTCATTGATCTTATATATATATATATAAGATCAATTTGTATTGATGCATATGAGTAACTTTTATATATATATATAAGAATATTAAAAATCTTTTTAGAAAAATTTGGATTTGAGTGAATTTGTATTGATGCAGGAATATTCTCATATATAAGCAAGAATATTATAATCTTTTTAGAAAAAATTCAGTCTTAATTTGACTGAATTTGTATTGATGCATAGATGTTCTCGTATATAAGTAAGAGTATTATAATTTTTATATTGAAGATATTTTTATATTTTTAGTCTTGACTCGTACAAAAGTAATTATCTTAACATCTCAAGATGTCAATACAGTCATCTGATTGGTTAATAATGACTTAAGACTGTATTTAAGATGATCCTAAATATAGATTCTAAATAGGAATCATCATAAGAATATCATCAAATTAAATATTTAAAAAAGATATATTTAGATTGTATTTAGAAATATATCTACATATATTTTAAAATAATTAATTATTAAAATAATTAAAAATTAAAATTATTATAGATATATTTAGTTAGTTAGTTATATTTAGTTATTCACCTAAAACATATATCTGTATCTGTTACCTAATTACATTTTTCTTAAATTTGCATCTAATTATTTACAAAAATGTCTCTTATCACACTGAAAATAATTATATAGGACATTGAAATTAGTTTATAAAAATTATTATTATAAAGATTATCAAAAATTTTATAAAATTATCATCATGCTTAGCATTCTATATATTTATATTGATGACGTAATAAAATTATTTTTAGATCTGGCCAAATTTTTAGATATTTCAGCAAAACTATTTTTTCTGTGTGTTTGCGTTCAATCTAATTCACGTTCTATACGATTTATGTTTTTGTTTACCATGTTTTTGTTTTACAATCTATCTCATTTTATTTTTACCACAGATAAATCGTACTAGCAATTTAGCTGGCGCCTTATCTTTCGCACAAACATTTTTCATTCATGTTCTTAGTAATTATTTGAACTGTTATAAATCACTCTTGTGTATACATGTACTACAAATTTATTATTATTATCTAGAACAACCTCGGCCACTCCAATTTAATTAATCGGCAATTAATTCAACCGACATTTGTTTGCCTCAAATTTTCTAATTATATAAATTGCTGTTTCTAATACAATCAAGCAACAAAAAAATTTATCCACCTTAAAAAATGCTATAAGTGCCATTCGCCAAAGTTGATTGGAATTTGCATGAAATTACTTCCAGGGTTCTAGGCAGTTAGAAAGGAAGATATTTGAAATTCTTTCCTTTAAGGAAACATAATTTACACGATATCGATGGGAATCTCGAGGTCACAATCGCGAAAGTCACGATGTTTCACGACGTGTTTTTTCAGGCGAGACGCGTCTATGTTTGATTGTTCTCGTACCGTATGTATTTAATTCGAACAAAAAAACGCCACTTCATTAGAAAACAAACAGAATAGAACAATCCATCCCCGACCGTCTGTTCGGGTGTTTTGAGGCTCAAAGCATACTTGGAGCTGATTATTTTGCGATCGATTTTCTCATATCGTGAATTTCTATGTATTTTCCCGTCGATCCCTCGAGGATCTCTATGTATTTTAAGAAGAGGAATCTTCCCCTTCTTCAAGAAAAAAACTTCTGGATCTTACGATCCAGAACTGTGATACTCTATCCTAGTGAATTGGAAATCCATCGGAGACGTGAAGGAAAAGAAGAAAAAGGAGAAGAAAAGAAAAAAATAAGTTCACCCGAATCCTCCAGGAACCTTCAGAGTCATAATCATCCGCGAAAGGCAACACTCGATGGGAAAGTATTGACGACGCGCTCTATGGACTTGGATGAATCCGAAACGAGTCAAAGCTCTCGTTAACGGAGAAAAGTCGATCGCTGTCGTTCAATCTGCCAATTACGCGACTCGATAACGTCCGCAGTGCGAGAGAACTCGCCGAGCGCGAGTCACTCGTCGAATTCCGTTCGCGTTCCTCTCGCTCGTCAAGGGAAAAGTGGATTGCGCTGAGCGACATATCTCACGCATACAGTAATAAAACACGTTACTCTATGCTTTTATTATCATGTCATCAGCATACCGTAAAGAATTTCTGACATTTTAGCCATCGATTTCACATAAATATTTTGACGACGCAAACAAAATTATCATTTTCCATATCTATATCTGACCCAACAAAAGACTGTCCCTCCCGCGAGGAGGAAAAGAACGATTCCGGTATAAAATTCCGCGAATAAACGCGAGAGAAGCCTGAATTTCCACTTTCTCGCCGAACGAATGCCGACGATAAGCGCGTGGCGTAAACGGGCATCGCGGCACGTTTCGACCGCACAGCCCGTGCCTTTACGTAATGTACATGCCGGTGTGGTTGTCGATGAGGAAAGTGTGTAATCGAACGACGGTGTCCACGCGAACGGCGTTACGCCGTTCAGATTATAAGTGCACGCGCGTAATAAACAAGACTTTGACCGGCGTGACGCGAGCATGCGCGTGGGTACACACGTGGGTTTCGAGATTTCGGCCCTTTCCCAACACGTACATACGACACGTACACACGACACACACGGGTCCCGAGACGTGAAGAGAGGGACGGATCTTTTCGCACCGCGGCGCACCTTGACGACGTCGCAGCGAGAAGCGACGATCTTCCTCTATTAATCGAAAAGAAAGTTACCGCCAAGTCCCCGGCGGGCATTAACGGTCGACGTGTCTGTGTTCGACAAATTTTATCCTTCGACTTTTAGCGACGGCTCTCGCCAACAGACAGAGAGTCATCCGAGCCGCCCGAGACTCTTTCGAATCTCGGGAATCCTCGAAAGCAATTTTCGCGAACGTGGGACGAGGATGGTTGATTGGCTGGATGGATGATTGGACGGGATGCGCGGAATCAATTTACTCGTCGGCAATCTCGTTAGCCCGAAATGTCACGAGGCGCTATCGCACTGTCACTTTCGTAACGAATGTCGTAACATTCGCAACTTCCCGTACGACGTTCCGATAACTATCCGTTTTTTCGCCGACAGTCTCGTCTTATTTTGAAACTTCGAGAGAATCCAAAATATTATTGATTGAACTAAGACACTGTTTTTTTTTTTTTACCGTAGTGAGTCCAGTTATCGGTGTCGTGGCAGAGCGTGGCCCAGTCGTTCTCCAAATCCCGGGAAGTCGCCATGGCCGACACGGTGATGGTCCTCGATGTCGCCGGTCGCGAGGAATTGGCGAACGCGTCGACGTTCCACCTGTCGCGGCGGAATCCACGTCAAATTTCTCCCGCTGTTGAGTTTACCCCTGAGGAAAATCGGCCCCTAAGGAGGAGAATCCGCGCGGGAGTGGCGCGCGAAACGCGACAGACACGCACACGCGGGAGAGAGAGATCTACTCGGAGACTCGCGGAGACATCGACGCGATCGCAGGCAGCTTTATCGGTACACGAGCGACGCGAACGAAAGGACACGAGGCTGGAGCACATGGGCGTTTCAAAGTAGTCGCTACACCCGATTCCACGCGCCTGCACGCGCACCTGTACGCACGGAACGGGGGGCTCCTTTCCACCTCCGTTTCTCTCCCGCACCCGCGGCCGATTTTCTCGTTGTTTATTTTTAATAGCGCTCCACCGCGCCGTCCGCCTGGTTCACGCACGTGTGTGTATGTACATAACGCTCGCGAAGGGGGGAAGAGAGAGAGAGAGAGAGAGAGAGAGAGAGAGAGAGAGAGAGAGAGAGAGAGAGAGAGAGAGAGAAGA